TATTTTTCTCACCTTTTTTTCTCCCTCAACTAAAATTTCGCTCTAACAATATACAGATTCCTTTTTGTTCATTTTATTAAACTTTGATCAACTAAACGTCTTCTTCTCCTTCGTCTTATTCTTTTTACCTTCATTATTCTAACTCTTCCGTCGCTGCTGCTGCTGCTGCTGCTGCTACTCCATCTTCTGACCTCTTTCCTGCACTTATGGTGCCACTTAGTTTTTGTTGATTGAGAAACAAATGGCAAATTGAACAAAGATCAATGTAACTTATTATTGACGTATTGTTAAAAAATTTTTTTTTCTAAAGCAAATTGTAGATGATCAAATGATGAGTTTTTAGAAGACCTATCATAATAGATAGCAGAAATTGTTTAAACAGTGAAAAAAAAGATTAGGAAAAGGTATGATAATAGCAGTATTAATGAAGGCGAAACACCAAATAAATACTATTCATTAGACACTGCCTTAGGCCACCGATATTTGTAACTTTTGGGCTACGTTTACTGAGTGCCTATTACGTCAGCGATGGCACTGACGACTGTGATAATGATGGCAATGGTGATTCATACTATTGATGTTGGTAATGGTGATCTATGTATATTGATCTAACAACATCAGTCAACAATAACGACAACAACAGCTAGCTGACAACCAGTTCACTCACTTCAACTAATACTGCCAACAGCGATCTCATAGCCGCTGCTATCATAATTGAAAAAAAAAAACTAAGTATAGTGCCCATCATCAAAATTTTATACAATACTTGTACTCAAGGACCTATACAGTCTTAATATGTTTAGTTAGTGTACATGTTCGTTTGCAGAACTTAGCTGTTGACTTTTAATACTGACTGCAAGAAACTGAGAAGGGAGCATTGCAGTTAATTCAGGCAACATCCAATTCTGACCTATAAAACTGTTTTACAGTACAACAAAAAAGAAAAAAGAAATTTTTGTTCTTGCAACAATCCTTCCTCCTTCTTCTTTCTCTCAACAAAAGTTTTAACCTATTATCTAACTGACTACCCCGTTTCAAACAGTGATAAAAAAGTTTTATATCAGTAATAATCATTAAAAAAAATAAAAACAGGAACGATAAAACTAATGCAATCAGCTTATTGTATAGTCATAAATTTGCCAAAAAAAAAAAACAGTAATGAAAAGATTCACTTCAATAAGCAAATCGCATAGTTTTTCGCAGCGTATTTTCTACAAAATGACAAACAGAAACCACAAACCAATACTTGAGGAATCCAACAAACAATT